ATTTTCATGTTAGCATTTCTTATTTTTATGAGCATTTACTACACAAAGACTTCATTAGAGTGGTGATAGCATTCACCTCTGTTCAACCGTAAGTTCCTAAATGCCTCAGAACTGTGACATCAGAGTGGAGCAGATCTGGGGACCTGCTTCTGGGTGGGAACTTGAGAAGTGGTACTCTCACAGAGCTTCTGTGAAGTGAGGTGCTGACGTTGCCCTACTGAAATGAAAGAATGGAGTCCAAAAAGTTTTAACTGCCACTCTTTCTTATTCTTTGCTGTGATCTGCTTGAAACTGAAGTGGTCATTTTGGTATTGGCTACAAAATACTAGGAGCAGATTTAGGGAGCTGGTTTAAGAATGTCGTACACTTAAAACAGGGCATGAATGACAAAAGCTTGAGAGCACTGTAGAATGGAACTGAAGTGGAATAATATTGAAGTCAGAAAGTCTAGATAAAATTAAGTTGCCTTCTGACCAGTGCTTGACACTGTTAACATGGAGAAGAAATAAAAACATTTCTGTTTTTATCTTATTCTAACATAGCTCTAGTTTTAAAACTCTATGGATTTATTTGTTTAGTAAACATATGTTGAATGTTTACCATATACCTTGCTAATTAGTTTTACTAGGAACACAAAAATATGGTTTTTCTTTCTTTCAAAATATGGCTAATTTTCATGAAACACTGTGGAATTGATTTAGGCAATGGATATACTAAATGAAACTTTGACCTTTGATGATGGCCTGAAGTTTAAGGAATATAAATGTGTAAAGGAGCATGGAGATTATACAGACAAAGCATTTGAGAAACTTCACTGCCCAGAAGCAGGTACGTGTCTCTTGAAAGCTGTAAATGAGAAGGAACTGTTTTATTAGCAACCCATCTTGAACTCTGTCCCCATGCATCTGCCTCGGCTCCACTGTTATTTGACCCTTCTCTGCTCTAAGCAAGGCGGAAACACACTTCCTATTCTTCTGCCACCCATGCAGTGACCACACTCCCTGGATCCAGCCCTCCTCTCCTGCTCCACACCCACTCCCTCCTGCAGCTTCAGCTTCTCCTGGGAGCTCCAGACTTACCAGTCTTTCTCATTATCTTCTGGGAACCTCCATGGACAAGTGTTGCCAGTATCTGAAACTCAGCTGTGTAAAGTCAAGCTCTTCTGTGCTCTTCCTTTCCAGTGACCCTTTATTTTGGTCAGTGTCACAGGTGCAACTGGCTGGGGCCAGTGTTGTGGGCAGTAAAAGAATTTATGAACACAATTGTGGGTAAAGAAAGGCAGATTTATTAAGGTACAAAGATACATTGCAAGAGTGCAGTGGGCAGCACAGCAGAGAAGGGGCTGTCTGCCAAGAGGCAGGGGCTAGAAGGAAGTTTTATAGGGTCCTATTGGAGGAGCTACATGCTGGTAAGGTGTGCAGGTAAGGTTTTGCTGCTGGGGCTGCATGTGGAAGGAATGAGGTATTTGGGAACAGGATGTGCCAGCAGCTTATCTGTGATTAGTCATCTCTCAGAACAGTTGTTCTCCCACCCCTAACCCCCACCTGGGACCCCCTCCCTTGTTGTTGTTTACTTATGAGAACTTCACAGTCAGCGCTGTCAGCAGGGTGCACCCTCAGCATAGTGTCTACTCTGAGATGTCTCTGGAGTCTTCCTCTTCCTTCCTTCCCTCTGTTACTAGTTTAGAGCTCTGTCATCTCTCAGTAGTGTAGTGTAGGCTTCAGAGACAGATGGGAGTTTGAATCTCAGCTGTTGCTGCCACTTTCTGGTTATGTGACCTTTCTTTCACAAGTTATTCCAACACTCTGAATCTCAGTTTCATCTTAGAAACAGGGGGTAATAGTAGTAGGAATAACCACACAGGGTTATTGTGAGGACCAAAGTGAGTTTTGATGTATAAACGACCTGGCACATACTAGGTGCCTAATATAAGTCCTGTCTTTTCATTTTCCCTTTGCCTTCCCCTCACTGTGTTGCCTTATTCACTTAAGTGACATCCTTTTCTCTAGTATTTCCCTTTCATTCTCTAAATGGTTACTGTATTAGTCCATTTTCATGCTGCTGATAAAGACATACCTGAGACTGAGCAATTTACAAAAGAAAGAGGTTTAATTGGACTTACAGTTCCGCACGGATGGGGAAGCCTCACAATCATGGTGGAAGGCAAGGAAAAGCAGGTCACATCTTACATGGATGGCAGCAGGCAAAGAGAAAGAACTTGTGCAGAGGAACTCCTCTTTTTGAAACCATCTTATCTCATGAGATTCATTCACCATCACGAGAACAGCATGGGAAAGACCTACCCCCATGATTCAACCACCTCCCACTGGGCTCCCCCCCTTCTCCACCGACAACACACAGGAATTCAAGATGAGATTTGGGTGGGGACACAGCCAAACCATATCAGTTGCTAAAGTTATCTTGGCGTATTATTACTCTGCTCAGATTTTTTTTCTGGATAATATCTGCAGAATAAGGTCCATTCCACATATTATCACATTTTACACTACATGGCCTAATTCTGTTGTGACCCACTTTTCTCATCCCAGCACTGCCTCGTTCCTTCCATGGAAAATGGAATCCATACAGCCTGCTGGAATGCCCATTTTCTACTAGAGCTGGAATGCCCATTTTCTCCTATAGCATTTACAGACGTGACTTGGCTCAGTTTCCTCTTCCTGGAATACTCTCTGCCTTATTTCCTTCTGGAAAAATCTCCATTCAGCAGGCATCTCCCTTGTGCCAAAGACTGCTCGGTGGTAGGGAGCTCAAAGATGAATAAAATCTGGACCCTGTTCTCAATATCACAGAAGTGTTATGAGCAAAAGAAGCACAGAACATGTTTCCTGAGCCTGAAATGTTAATCACTGTTGAAGTGCGAGCTGGGTAGAGAGTCAGGGAGGTCTGCACTCCTCCAGGGCTTGGCATGCCATCATATTTGTGATTGAGAAGGATCATGCTGGCTGCAGAGCAAAGGATGGCATGGAGGGCAAGAATGAAGGCAGGAGAAGAGTCCAAGTGCATGAGCCAGAGTGGTGCAGGAAGAATAGATACTGAGTGTGGGACCTGAGGAAGAGAAGGGGCTCAAGGATATTCCCAGTTTGCTAATTCAAATGCATGAAGCTTTCATCAACCAAAAATATATCACATGGAGGGTAATGGGGTTGAGAGAGACAAGGTAGTGATCTAAATTTGGAACATGTTGAGATTTAGATCTATATAGCATCAATTGCAGATGCTATATAAGACTGAAGGCCTGGGGCATATCGGGGATAAAGATATAGCTTGGTGGCCATTAGCATATCCATGGTTGTTAACCTTCGTGATGGTCAAAATACCTATGCAGAAGGACTGGAGTGAGAGGGAAATGGGACTTAGGACATATCCCTACCACTATATAGACAAACTTTGGAGAATCAGGAGAGAGTAAAGCCAAAGGAGGAGAGACAGGTCATGGAGGAGGCACAGGAATTGGCAGCATAAACTGGAGGAGAAAGACCAGATGAGGTGAGTGGGATTTGGCCCTTCAGGAGCCGTTGGGAAAGCAGTCAACTGTGTGAGGGGTAAATTCAACTGTTATCTTTGCATCAGTTTGCTGGGAAAAGCAGAGGAGGTTGGCTGTTTTTTAGATGAGAGGAAAAAAAGCCCTTCATTAGTAGTATACTGAAAACTGTCTCTCATTTTAATCTGTATTCCTGTAATAATTATTCAGGCCAAAGAATTTTTCCATATGTTTGTTGACCATTCATATTTCTTTTCTTTTCTTTTCTTTTCTTTTTGAGATGGAGTCTCCCTCTGTCACCCAGGCTGTAGTGCAGTGGCACAATCTTGGCTCACTGCAACCTCCGCCTCCTGGGTTCAAGCAATTCTCCTGCCTCAGCCTCCCTGAGTAGCTGGGATAGGTGCACGCTACCACACCTAGCTAATTTTTTAAATATTTTTAGTAGAGATGAGGTTTCACCATGTTGGCCAGGCTGGTATTCTAACTCTTGATCTCAGGTGATCCACCCACCTCTGCCTCCCAAAGTGCTGGGATTACAGGCATGATCCACCACGCCCGGCCAACCCTTCATATTTCTCTTATGAATTATGTACTTATGCCTTTCATCCTTTTTTCTACTGAAAATGACATGTTTGTTTTTTTCTTTATAAGACTGATTTAAATCAAACCTTTGCCTGTAATATGTATTGCAAATGTTTTCCTCAGTTGGTTGTCAGATCTCATTTATAGTAATAACAGCAAATATATATATAAGTGTGTATGTGTATTCATTCACTTAGGAATAAACTTTATGAGAATTGTGTGGCATATAGAAAGAAAACTGTAAAACCTTGCTGAGGTATTTACAGACCACTTGAATAAATGGAGAGAAATAGCAGTGCTATATATTGGAAATATTTTTTCCAAATAAATATTGCAGTATCATTGTCTAAGGTATTACCCAGAAATCTTTGTCTCATGACCAGAAGAATAAGGAGCGTGGACACTAAGGGTGAGTTTGGACTAAAAGTTTAATAAACGAAAGAGGAAGGCTCTTCACTGTGGAGAGGGGACCCAAGAGAGTTGCCATTTCACAGCTGAGTACAAAGGCTTTTATGAGGAACCTGATAGGGCTGGGTGTTTCACTTGCATAAGGCGTGAATTTCTGGCAGCTCCACCCTGTTCTCCTAGTATGCTGACGGGCTGGGGGTTGTTTTTGGAAAAGGCACCACTCAGAAAATGACATGATGGTTGACCAGGCATGATAGCTCATGCCTGTAATCCTAGCACTTTGGGAGGCCAAGGTGGGCAGATCTCTCAAGGCCAGGAATTCAAGACTAGCCTGGCCAATATGGCAAAAGCCCATCTCTACTAAAAATACAAAAATTAGCCAGGTGTGGTGGTGAACACCTGTAATCTCAGCTACTTGGGAAGCTGCAGCACAAGAATCACTTAGACCTGGGAGGTGAAGGTTGCAGTGAGCCAAGATTGTGCAACCATACTCCAGTCACTCCAGCCACATGACAGAACAAGCAAGACTCCATCTCAAAAACAATAACAACAACAACAACAAAAAAAAAAACATGGTGTAAAGACCAATTGGAGCCTTGGCCCACAACCAGCTAAGTGTCAGAGTGATGGTTCACAGAGGCTTGGCTCACAGTCCAAAGTATGCCCCCAAAAGGAAAGGAATGTGCTCATTGGAGGCCACCATGTACATGCCCACAAAAGGAGAAGGAACTGTTTGCTGGAGGCCCACTGATTGCACAAAGGACAAAGGCATTTCTGTGTTGGGCTTGCTCCCTTATCTGTGCAGCTGTGGGCATGTTTTAGGCAAGCTTCCTGTGCTAGTTCCCTTATCCGTGTCTGCAGCTTGATTTTTCAGACTGTTATTTTGTTTGAAAGAATTCTGAGGACCTGCCCTAACTGCCTGCCTCACTGGTTCTTTCTTTCTGCTCCCTCAATATGTGGATTTATGGCTATTTCAATCAAAACCACAGTAGGATTTTATTTTTTATTTTTTATTTTTATGGTACAGGGAGATCTCAGCAGGTTGGAGAATCCTGGAGCTTCTTAAGTAGCCAAAAATTTTGAAAAAGAAGAACAGTGAAGTGGTACTTACCTTTCCAAACGTCAAAATATATTATAGAAATTATGGTCATTCAAACAATATGATAGTAGCACCCAAATAGTTAAAACAGTGAGAAGAGAAAGCTAGAAATAAATCCTAGTATGTATCATAATTCAGCACAAATGAAAAGTAACATCACAAGTCAGTGTGAAAAGAAAGGATTATTCAAATAAATGCTGCTGGGCCAATTGGTTAACAGTTTGGGGAAGATTGTGAAATCAGACCCTATATAATATGATACAACAAAATAAATTTAAGAAATCAAAGAGGTTATATGTAAAAAAGTTGTACATTCAAAAATGAAATAAAGGAATATAGGTAATTTTTTTTTAACAGGGAAGATCTAGCTGTTCAAAATACATAGAAAAAAAATCACAGAATTAGTAATAATTCAACTTTAACAACAAAAAGCTGTGTAGTAAAGCAAATAATATCTAATCCCTAGAATTGTCATTTTCAATAATGTATCTATTGAATTATACATTATGATTAAATAATCATAAATGTCCACAAAAATTTAGTTACAAATGAGGTCATTATATAATGGTATTATTTTTAATAGTGAAAAATCACTAGTAACCTAAAAATCTGGCAGGAAATGATTAGTTATATTACATTCATAAAGCAGAATATTATGTTCGCTTTAAAATAGCTGTATAGAAGAATATTTAATAACCTGGATATGATCTGTAGGTGATTGAAAAAAGCAAGCTCTGAGAGGACATCTAGGATGTGGTCCAATTTTTTGTTTCAAAATGAAGCAAAAACCATATGCAGAAGGGAAAAATTGAAATTGTTATAGTCTCTGGACAGTGAGATTATGGGTGATTTTTTTTTTTTCTTCTACTTACCTGATTTTCAGATTTTCTTTCTTTTTTTTTTTAAATTATTATATATGTTTTTGAGACGGAGTCTCGCTCTGTCGCCCAGGCTGGAGTGCAGTGGCATGATCTCGGCTCACTGCAAGCTCCACCTCCAGGGTTCACGCCATTCTCCTGCTTCAGCCTCCCGAGTAGCTGGGACTACAGGCGCCTGCCACCACGCGCAGCTAATTTTTTGTATTTTTAGCAGAGATGGGGTTTCACTGTGTTAGCCAGGATGGTCTCAATCTCCTGACTTGGTGATCCACCTGCCTCAGCCTCCCAAAGTGCTGGGATTAGAGGTGTGAGCCACTGTGCCCGGCTATTTTCAGATTTTCTATAGTGAAAACAGTAATAAGGAAAAAGACAGGACAAGTTATTTTTTAAATTAAGAAAATGGAACAGATTGTGTTTCTGTGGAAAAAGACTAGAGTGAAAGTTCTCATAGATGCCTCAAGGAATTTGTCCATTTGTGTCACTGATACTTCCTTAGCATTTAGCAATATTGGCTAGTCAATCAAACACTAAGAGTAAAAGTAAAACAGTGTTGACACCTTTTTGTCATTTCAATCTTATTTCTGTTAGAACAAGGGTGGTCATTTTTCTGGTTTTGAACTACCTGCTGATAAACTACCTCTGAGTTCTTAAGAACTGTTCGGGGCAATTAGTCACACTTTGACTGCTTTTGAATTAACGAGTTGTTTTCTTACACCCAGGGTTTTCCACGCAGACTGTAGCTGCTGTGGGAAACAGGAGGCAGTGGGATGGAGGAGCGCCTCAGGCTCTGCTGCAGATGATGGCAGTGGCTGACATCACCTCCACCTGCCCCACGGGGCCTGACGGTGAGTCTGTGCTTAGTGTCAGTCGTCAGGAAGGGAAGACCAAGGACCCGTACAGCCCGGTGCTCATCCTGATGTGATAGTCTACTTCTCAGTACAACCCCTATAGACTTGTATCAGACACTTTCAAATATGTTGTTTTGATATCTCCCTACTCCTAAAGAGACTTGCCTGCTAATTATCCTGGACAGACGACCACTCTAGACATGTATATATAAAGGAGGAAAAATCCAGGATACCACCTTCCTCGGAGTGAGGGAAAATGCATGAGGAAGGGCAGCCGACTTGATTTACTTTCCAAGGCCAGCTCAGCAACTTTTTTTGGGATTTCATAGGGTCATTTTTTTTCTACCAGTAAAATTAGAATTAAAAGAGTAGCTATCTCTATAAGATTTAGAAAGTTAATAGTTCAAAGATACATATAAATTGCTTTGAAGCCGATGTGCTATTTAAATGTTAGAAGTGTTTAGGATATGATGATGTTTTCTACCTAAATTCCTCCGTTTACATTTGAACCTCTCACATAGCCTTTCCTTAGAAGAGGATCATAGCAGGCTGGGCGCGGTGGCTCACGCCTGCAATCCCCGCACTTTGGGAGGCTGAGGTGGGCAGATCATGAGGTCAGGAGTTCAAGATCAGCCTGGCCAACATGGTGAAACCCCATCTCTACTAAAAATAGAAAAATTAGCCGGGCATGATGGCACACACCTGTAATCCCAGCTACTCGGGAGGCTGAGGCAGGAGAATTGCTTGAACCTGGGAGGCAGAAGTTGCAGTGAGCCAAGATCGTGCTACTGCACTCCAGCCTGGCTGACAGAGCGAGACTGTCTCCAAAGAAACAAACAAAAAAAAGCCATAACAGCCTCCAACCTCTGGATGTTATCTTCACAGGTGGTAAAGATTTTTATTACTCGTTTCCTATGTTCTTGATAACATGGGCTGAGAGGGAGCTAAAATTTGTACATGTGCTGTAAGATGAAATATGTAAGTATATCACTGAAATGAGCAATTATGTGTATAAATTGAATTTCCCCTCAATTGTCTTATTAAGTTATAAATCAATTTAAAATAGGCAAACAGAATAAAAATTTTATCATACCGAAAAGCCAGTTTACAAAGCAATGAGTGACTCTTCCCCCCATCAGCTATGTGACAAGAAGTCACTAAACTTTTCTATACCTCGGCTTCTTTATTAGTAAAATGAGAGGTGGGATTAGGTTACCTCCAAAGTTTTAACATTCTGTGATCTTATACAAATACAAGTGAAGAAGCATTTTTATTTTTAATAACACTTTCCTCTTCAGATGGTCAAGTTATTGTGATTGAAGGCATTCCAGAAAACCGGAAACAGTGGCGACATGAAGCTCCAGGAACTTTAATGAGTGTTTTGGCAGCAGCACATCTAACGAGTAGCTCATTTTCTGCCGATGAAGGAGAATTTGGTATGTAGTTTATTTTTAACAACATAACCAGTCCCCAGAGGAATTTTGTCAAGATTTGCAAATGCCGAAAGGGGATAAAAATATCTTCAGCTGGGAGAGAGAATTGGGAGGGTGTCTAGCCTTTTCAGAAGCTGATTTTGCTCTATCCAATCCTATTCCAAATGCTACTAACAAAAGACATGAGCTTTCCAGGAGAGTGGTGTAATTTTCTTTAATGCAATCAGCTGACAACTGGTGAAAAGTTTAAGTAGGGCTAGTGGCTTTGCAGCTGATGATCTAGTATTGTTTTGCTCTACCTGAGTTAGTTTATTTCTGATAGCTATTCAGTGAACTATCCCATGGACAATAAAAATACACCATAATATCATTTGTTTTTTTCCTCCAAGTTTTAGCAAGATTCTGCTTTTGTTTACTTTAAGACAGGAGTCCCCAACCCTCGGGCCGCAGACCAGTACCAGTCTGTGGCCTGTTAGGAACCAGGCCACACAGCAGGAGGTGAGTGGCGGGCAGGTGAGCTTTACTGCCTGAGCTCTGCCTCCTGTCAGATCAGCAGCTGCATTCAGTTCTCATAGGTGCATGAACTCTATTGTGAACTGTGCATGTGGGAGATCTATGCTGTATGCTCCTTATGAGAATCTAATGCCTGATGATCTGAGGTACCCAAAACCACCCCCCTTCCCTGCCCCCGTCAAAAAATTGTCTTCCATGAAACTAGTCCCTGGTGCCAAAAAGGTTGGGGACTGCTGCTTTAAGGGAAGCCAACCATCATTTTCTAAAATTTGAGGGGCCTGGATGTAATGGCTCACACCTATAATTCTAGGACTTTGGGAGGCCAAGGCAGGAGGATCTCTTGAGGCTAGGAGTTGGAGGATGCTGTGAACTATGATCACTGCTCTTCAGCCTGGCTGACAGAGCAAGAACTTGTCTCTAAAAATAAAGCTTGAGGGAAATCACATCATAATGAGGGTTTGGTCTTATATTAGGTATTCAAGTGTGAAGTGCTACAAGATAAGCTACTGCAGGCAAGCAAGGATCCCAGGAGCATCTCCACGAGTGTGAGGTCTGGGACCTGGTATTGTGGTGAAGTGGGGTTGAGCAACAAGTAGAAAAACTAAGGTACTAGATACTCTTGGAGGCTGATAAATGTTTACAGAGTTAGGCCAGGCGTGGTGGCTCACGCCTATAATCCCAGCACTTTGGGAGGCTGAGGCAGGCAGATCACCTGAGGTCAGGAGTTCAAGACCAGCCTGGCCAACGTGGTGAAACCCCGTCTCTACTAAAAATACAAAAATTAGCTGGCATGGTGGCAGGTGCCTGTAATCCCAGCTACTTGGGAGGTTGAGGCAGGAGAAATGCTTGAACCTGGGAGGCAGAAGTTGCAGTGAGCCGAGATCGGCCATTGCACTCCAGCCTGGGGGACAAGAGTGAGATTTCATCTTAAAAAAAAAAAAAAAAGTTTACAAAGCTAATTACCACTACAAAAACAAAGTAATTTTTAACTGTCAATTGAGTCCAACAATTAATGAATACACATTTTATAATAGTTTGAAAGAGGCTTTGTAATGGAATTTTTTTATGTGGAACAGGACATTATACTAACACATCTAAATATCTTTGTTTCTCTGAAGTACGATGCCAAAAGTTTAAGATTATAAACTCATAATTAGTCATTAATGTCTCAGCATTATATGTTATTTGGAGATGATCTAGATAGTTAATGAATACCTATCATTTAACTTAGCTTAGCAAAACTCGAGGAGAAAAAGTTACCAAAAGGATTTAAAAAACCTTTTTTAAGTAAACACATTATAAAGCCTAATTATTATTAAAACTTCTATCTGACCAGGCTCATGCCTGTAATCCCAGCCCTTTGGGAGGCTGAGGCGGGAGGATCACTTCAGCCCACGAGTTCGAGGCTGCTGTGAGCCATGATCATGCCACTGCACTCCAGTTAGTGTGACAGAGTGAGATTCCAACTCTAAACAAACAAACAAAAACCTCTTATTTCGTTACATTTATTTATTCCTTCTTAACAACTATGTTTGGAAATTTTCAGGAAACATTGGACAAATCTAGCCATCATCTTATTTCTTTATTAATCATTTCTACAGTTTGTGAATGTTAGGCCGTCACCACCAAAGCAAAAGCCCTAAGGTTAATACGTGGATGTTTTGCTGATCAAATTACACTGCTGCTTTCATTAAACCAACAAAGTAGTCTTATTTACCAAAAATTTACCCAAGTTACAATAATTAAAAGGCATTTGAATTCATTTCTACTTTTCTGATAAAATATTTCATTTAAGCACCTACTTTTTCTTTAAGCCAATTAACTACAGCTCTTTCATATATTTTGGTAGTGAAATATCAATCAAACAGGTTCAGCTGCTCTCTGCTTGCAAAATTGAATAACAAGGACAAGGTGCAGTAGAAGGAAAGTGCCTTTATTTTTCAGTGCTAGCAGTGGGGAGATGGTTCAGGCTCCTGCCTTAATAAAACCACTTCAGAATTCTCAGGCGAAATGCTAGGGCTTAAGAAGGGGAAGTTTGGTATGGAGGGCATGTGGGGCGAGATGGTGCAAGTCTACGAGACTTGTTCCAATGACTTGAGTTATTGCCTCATCTGGTAAATGGGCTGGTACCATCTCAGGCTTGTCTGGGCTGTAAATTGGCTGTGGCCTTGTAATCTCCTGGTGGGGTAGAATTTCATAGGCATCTGGATTGTCTCAAGATTCAGTCTCGAACTTCTAAGCAAACATAATTAGATAAGCCAGCAATGCAAGGGAGTGCTTGGTGGAAAGAAAGTCAAGATTATTATTTCATTACTAAAAAGTTAATACAGAGGGCTGCAGGAGGAAAAAAATTAAAAATAGGGCACTCAGTTACAAAATCACATACACATGATACATATAAACATACACGCAGCAGATTTTATAGCTTCATAAGGCTTTCATTTGCCAGTTTTCAAATAATTTTTCCTCCAACTTGATTTTATTTTTTATTTTATTTATTTTTTTTGAGACAGAGTCTCACTTTGTCACCCAGGTTGGAGTTTTGGCTCACTGCACCCTCTACCTGCCAGGTTCAAGCGATTTTCCTGCCTCAGCCTCTGGAGCAGCTGGGATTACAGTTGTGTGCCACTACGCCCAGCTAATTTTCCTATTTTTAGTACACACGTTCACCATGTTGGCCAGGCTGGTTTCGAACTCCTGACCTCAAGTGATCCACCTGTCTTAGCCTCCCAAAGTGCTGGGATTACAGGCATGAGCCACCGCACCCGGCCTTAGCCACCACGTCCTCCAACTTTGGGCTATCAGTCTCTTGATTACCTGTTCCATTGCCCTAAACAATTGTTAGCAAGCCAACCCTCAATTTGTACTTCTGAAAGGATGACTTTTAAGGGCCCAGAACTTAAATCTAAACACTATTACTTGCTGACCAAAAAAGGGCACAGTCAAGGTTTAGTCAAGACAAGATTGCCAAGAAAGGTGTCTGGAACAAAGGTAAGGTTTGTTATGTGAACTTTAAACCAATGCCTTTCCCATCTTAAAAATTTCTGGTGGCTTGGGGTAGGGGGAGGCCTTACAAATGAAGATTTCCTTTATAGATACAATTTTTTTTTTTTTTACAAAGAGTTTTAAAACAGGGCCTAATATTTAATATGTGAAAAGCAGGCAAAACTGGAAGGCAGTGCACCTACATCTTTCAAAATCAAGGATCTCACTTCTATATTGAATCCTGGGTCCCCCACAAAGAGGGAAACACCAGGAGACTGTGCTCCTTCCTGCAGATACATTCTGCTGAGGCTGGTGGGTAACCTAATGCCAGTCAGGCTACTCTGCGAGCAGCCCGTCCCCAACAGGAGTCTTATAGCTTGGTGATGAGTGTTCCCATAACCTCCAGGTGTTCAAACCTGTCTTTTAATCTAAATGCACAAGGAAGTAAGTAGCCCCATCCAGTAATAACCATTCACTGTGTGTACCCAGAATATTTGAGATAGGTCTCAATCAATTTAGAAAGTTTATTTTGCCAAGGTTACAGATGCATCCATGACACAGCCTCGGGAGGTTCTGATGACATGTGTCCAGGGTGGTCAGGGGACAGTTTGCTTTTATACATTTTAGCAAGACATGAGACATCAATTACTGTGTGTAAATTGTACATTGGTTTGGTCCAGAAAAGAGGGACAATTGAAGCAAGACGGGGGCGGGGTGGGGGGAGGGCTTCCAGGTCATAGGTAGGTAAGAGACAAAAGTTGGCATTCTTTTGAGTCCTTGATCAGCCTTTCACTGAATACACAATTTAGTCTGGCTCAGTGAATCTGCATTTTTACATAAACAATAGGGCAGAAGCAATCAGATATGCATTTGTCTCAGGTGAGCAGAGGGATGACTTTCTGTCCTGCACCTGTGGAGATCAGCTATCAGTTTACATTGCCCAGGTGAAATTCAACAGAACAGTTTTAGGGTAAAGATCCTGAGGCCTACAAGGAACTTCCTTGTGGGCAAATTGGGAGGAAGGTATGTAGCTTTATCATGATTGTAGCTATCTCATTTAGGAATAAGACCGGAGGCAGGTTTGCCTGACGTAGTCTTTAACTTTTCTCTTGCCTTAGTGATAAATCGGTCCCGAGATTTATTTTCCTTTCACAACTGCAGCCGCTGTCAGCCACTTCCAAAAACTACAGCTTTTATCAGTGACTTGTCAGCCATTGCACACACAAAAATCAATTCTCTCTCACAGTACAATGTAATCTCTGGTACCCCAAAGTCAGATTGATGAAGTAACTTACTGCAAAAGACAGTAGAGCTTTAGATCTGAGAGGAACCTGCCTGTGACTTCTCTAGGAAAACAGACCAACCTAAGAAGGGATGAGTGGCACCTTTTCTGCATTCCTTGGGGGCTCTTAGAGTCATTAGAAGTCTCCTGCAGATTCCTCCACGTGTTATTGAAAATGGCAAAAGGAAGGAGGAGCCAGAAGTGGAAGGAAATAGAAGAACAA